AATCATTTTCTGACTGCTTCTGAAAACCGTAAATCACTGAATGGCTGGATGCTAGTTCAGTAGTCAAGAGACTAACTGTTCATAAAAGTGATTGAAGATCTTAAGTTACATTTCCGCTTGTGGGGTCATGAATTCTCAATTTTGAGGAGTACTGCAGTGTATGTATGCTTCCACGAGGTCTAACTTAGATCGGTTAATGATTTCAATCGTAAATGGGTGAGGTCACGCAAAATCCCTAGATCAATCAGCGTTAGACATCAACACCGTTGGATGCCGGCCCAGTGATCTCGAGGTTAGACGTTCGCACAAAATACCGAAGGTTCCGGGTTCGAATCCTGCGAAGTGCAGGAGTCGTGGATGCGCACTGCCACTGATGAGTCACATACCATGAAGAAACGGCCATCCAGTGCCTGCAGGTTTCTAATGATGTTCTATCAATGATGATTGACTGATAATTTCAAATGTGTAAAAACACTCATCACGATAACTCTAATTGAAAAAGTAATTATTAGCTCAGTAATTTTACAGAAAGTAAATTGATTTAAATATCATTGAAAGATTCAACTAGTAGATACCAACAAATGCAGACAACAAATAAACAAACAATGAAAATTCATCTCTTAGCCAAACTTTGTAGACATTAAAATTTTGAAAACACACTAAACATGATTAGGTAGTTATGAATATTTAGAACGTGAAGATATTAATCCTTATAAATAGTATAACGAAAGTTGCATTTTATCAAAAAGATCATTTCTTCTGAAATGCAGACAAACGTAAGAAGGAGATTACTTCTTAAAGCAGTACTGAGATACGAGACAACTGAATTCGTAGCCAAAGTTTATAATATCTGCAGTGAAACGCATTGAAAAATATATATTACCTATAATCTAAACGACATGAAGCCCCTGTTCATGCTACCAATGAAACTCAACAACCACGCAAAATCTTATACCGACAAAGATCAACAACTGAAATCAAGAATCAATCATTGTTAGACCACACCAGTAGAAACCTCAAAACATTGGACGGTCGTTTCGTTCTAGTATGGGACTACTCATTAGCAAATTAAGATTAAGAATATTAAAGATTCCCTTTGTGAAAATTAGAACAACACATATAAGCGAACAATATTGTTTTCGATTAGATCGTCATCAGGCTTTACTCTAATAGATACATGAATAGTTATATGAGAATGTTAAACCAATCAAGGCAATTTGAGCGAACATCTCCCAGCATGGTTTACGAAGGGTCAGTCAAAAATAATACACAGTTCGATCTTAGCACACCTGGTTGATAGTGGTCACATTGTAGATAAATCTACATCTTTTCGGGTGATCTATTGTATACCTCCATCATCATTTCCCGACGGAGTTCGATCCCGTCTCCTACACATAGCAGAAGCCATAGGAATACGTACATTCAACCCTAATTTATGTGTTCAGAAGAAATTCGTGACACCCCTATCTCTTCCGTGGCCGGATATGACGTAACTAACGATTGACATTATATATATTTTTTATTTATTTTAATTCTATTATTTTTACACATTTGCTTATTACGTAATGTTTTTGATGTTTTTGATGATTATTTGAATTCTATTCATCCACCTTTGATCTACTTTAGTTATCATATTTTATAAATTTTCCTACTGCTATCTGTTCACCTATCTTCCTACTATCCACTTGTACTTTTGCCTTTTTCATTTCATTGTGATTATCGACTCATAAATTGCCTTGATTGGTTTAACATTGTCATCATAAATGTTCATGTATATTAGAGTAAAGCAGCCTGATGACGATCTAATCGAAAACAACAATATTGTTCGTTTATATATGTGTTGTTCTAAATTAAGATTAGTAAGTCCACAAACTATCTGCCTTATTTCAGGGACTTTATTTCCCGTATTTCCGTTAGATGTAAACACATTATTTAAATATAAGTATGATTGAAAAGGATAAAACCATTTGCGAAATGCGTTCAGTAAAATTATTTCATAATATTTAGAGAATTTCATAATCATAACGATGATAATAATAGCAGTAGTAATGTGAATACCAGGTCAAATGTTTCACTCCTGTCATACTATTCAATTTCATTTAATATCAAATTAATTAGAGGAAAAATAGTCATTCAGTAATTTTATTTTAAAACAAAAAGCTCACCTTCACCTCATATTTCGGTCATTCTTTTATTTTTTTTAATACTGACAGTGTTTTTTTGTTTTAATTAAAATGTGTGTACAACCACCAAATATTTCTCATTTTTGTCATCGAGTCTTATTGATTTACTCAAAAAAAAAAGGAAATTAGAACATTTGCATGTATCATTTTATATAGCATAAAATGAGTTTGATGTTACTGTTGTGCTAATTATAATATTCGATATTCAGTGATCCATTTATTATATATGATTTAAAGATGAACTTGTCAGTGCAAAAAAGCTAAACGAACAATTCATCATTACATATTTCTAGTAAGTTAATTTTTTTAATTAAATGTGATGTCCAATGTAAAAAAAAATGTTACATTTAATTGTGTAGTGTTTTACTAACTACATAACCTCTTAGTGAGTATGTTTAGATGGATAGAAAAAATAAGCGCTCATTTGGAATCCTCAAGGTCAAATGAGAAGGAGGACGATCAAAGAATGCATTAAGCAAAGGATTAGAGACAGATATGAGGAAAGGAACGTCCAGGACGAAGTAGGTTAGAGAATGCTGCTGGTTGGAGGCCTGTGTCCCACATTCTTTAACATTATCAACATGAAACTTATGATTTTAAGCTCGAAAACCTTTGATTCCAATATAACTAACTATAGGACAGTTTTACATTCTGAAACCATGGAATCGATCAATGTTAGCCCACCATAAGAAACCTGGAAGCTTTGGACGGCCTTTTATGGGATACATCAGCAATGCGCATCCACGACTCCTGTACCCCGCAAGGTTCGAACCCGGGACCTTCGGTATTTTGTTGTGGTGTGAGCTACTTATAAGTAGTATATGACGTGAGTAAAAACGTAATGTCTGGTAGCAGAAGATGGGGGAACATCAAGAAACGAAGAGTTAGAACACAATGGAATTTGTATGAAACGCATGAATAGTGACAATGGATTGATGTTTTGCAACAGGAACAGTTCAGTTCGATAGGATGAACTGATATTTTGCAAATTAACGATTTACGATATGGTTTTCCGATTTTACTGAGTAACTCTGTAATTTTCGTTAAATACAATCCGGTTGCCCCACCTGTGTTCTTCTTCACTACAATGTGCAAACGCCTAACCAGTGGACCACTGTTAGTGTCTAACTCGATCAATGCAGTGAGTAATAGTCTCGAAGAAAGAACTCTTTGTACCATCCCAATACATTTTATTTAAACCGCAAAACATAATAATCGGAATTAGATCAATTTTCACTTGATTACAGCCAAACAAATTTATATAATTTATATAATTAAAATCATTTTATTCAACGTACTATTCCTAATAATTTTGTACGTAATAACATTTTAAATGATTTGAAAAATTGGTTTCCATTGATTGTCAACAAACATAGGTGTTTAATTGTAAAGAATATTCATTTTTTGCAGTTTATAGTTTGTATCATGATAAAATTTCGGTTAGAAAATTAGTGAAGATTAAATGTCACCAAACAGCTAGATTTCTCACAGTTCGGGACTTACTACAAATGCACATCCAACTATAGTTAAGTTCTTTGATGAGCATAACAAACTTTAACTACAAAAATGTCATCTTGTTTCTTGATATTATACGAGATTTATCGATTAGTTCCATGACACCTATCCTGGTATTGATATAGACAATGTCCATCAGTCACAAATTACCAGAATTTATACGTAGACTGAATAATTTCATTTCACATTTAAACGCCATTTAGATCAGTGATTGACGGGAGCTAGACAAATTCGAGATGGAATTCTGAAAATTCTCATCAGTCTGATGTTTGTACTGATAATGATGTCTTGAGTAACGATATTAACTTAACTATGCAAACATTCAACCTCGAGTTGGAAAACTTACACTCAAATCAAAAGCCACAATTCCTCATACTGAAAAAACTAACAAAATTGATACAGAATGTGCTTAAGACACTCACTAGATGTGCTCAAGATGACTAAAATTGTTAATTTTTTTAGGGATATGATTATATATATATTTAACAAGTGAATATGTATTTCTAAATCTGAAAAATCAAGATTGGTTCTTTAGTTCCAGAAAAATAATTGTTGTGTTCATTGTTTCAATGTCTAATAAATTCGAAAATCATTGTTACATAACGTTTTAAACGTGCTTCATTCATAATAAATACATGGGAAATGATTTATTATAGATTGAATTGGTAAACAGCATTTTACAGGTTATATTTTGCATGTAGTGAACTACTCAAAGTTCAAGATGAATGCAGTCAAGGAAAAATTTGTATCCTCATGAAACATCTACCTAAGATTATGTTTTGAAGATAAACTAAACCTACTTTAAATATGGAGATCGTTGTTTGACATCGCAATCATGAATGAATCATTGTTAGACCACCACTGTTACAAACCTGGAAACGCCGAACGACGTTTCATCCTTCCATGGGACTCATCAGCAGTACGCATTCAGTTCAACACTGTCTGGTGTAGGAAGTAACTAATGAAGACAATCGGTATGGCTGGACGAAAATCCTAAGATTGATCCGAGTTACATATTAACACCATTGGATGCCGGCTCAGTGATTCCCCGCGAGACCAAAAGTCCTAGGTTCGATTGTTGTAAGTAGCAAGAACCGGGGATGAACAGTGCTGATACGTCCCGTACCAGAACGAAACTGATGTACAGTATTTCTAGGTTTTTTTAATAGTTATCTAACTATGATTCATTGATGCCTGCACTATAAAATACTTTAAATATTCACTAGATATGAAAACTACATTTATCTCTTACTCCAATTCAGAATACTTCAAAAAAAGGCATAGTTTTGTTTTTTAACTCACCCTAAAAATGTGATCACACCAATTTTTTCAATATGTTGTTTAACTAAACTCCAACTTGATTGAAGTAATAATAATTGTTCCTCAGTCAGCGATGTCACTGTGTACAGTGCTTTCTCATGATCATTCTCTATAAACATTATATCATCTGGTACATCTTGTGTTAAATTCAATATATTTACACTTGATGATGTCACCGAATTCGGTGTAGAATTAGCATTCATCGTGGCATTGCTACTAGTTGATGGTGAATTCGATTTTTTCGGTGATATTGATAAATTATGCATACTTTTATGCAATTCAATACTTTTCGATGGGATTAAATTAAATTGTTTAATACGTTTTTTAAAATTATTCAACATACTATAACCAGAATAGCGTGATACAGATGGTTTCATGGTTGATGAAGATTCTTCATCAATGTTAGTTGTTAATGGAGCCGATGAAGGTGAACCGGAAGTTGACTGTTTATCGTCATTGTCGTGATTATCAACATCATCATCATCACCATCATCATATGTGATATTGATACTTGAAGATTTCAATGTGTTCAATTGAACACATTGTTGAGGACATTGTACACATTCATCATTTGTATTTTTATGCAGTATGATTGAATCTAATGATGGTGAACTTTCCACTGTGATTATTTCATCATCCATATTGAAAAAATGGGGCAAAAAAAGAAGAGGAAATTCTAATCTAACTGCAAAATTATTGATTTAATTTGATTGGATTGGATTGGATTTGTTTAAATCATTCTGCTGTGTGTTGATGGGTTTCGGTACAAAAAAATAATGATAATCATATTCATGTCATATCATTTTGTAGAAATTGAAATTTTTGTCAGTAGTAAAATAAATATACCAAAAAAAATTTTGCAATGAAAAAGTTTTATTGACTACATTCTGATTGGAGAAACAGTAATGGTTCACTAAAAAAAAATTATTTTTCCCACCTTTAGTATATACACTAATACAGTAGACATAACATCATAAATGGGGATTAGGGAAAAAATATATACAGGATCATATATATTTATATATATATATATATATATAAGTATAATTTGATTGGCTTATTCTTAAAATTCATCATGAATTATACGTTTAGTCAGTGAAAAATAAAACTAGTCGAATCATTTGTAACCTTGTTTCTTTCCTTCAAGAATCAAAACACATTAATCACACACAAGTCAATTGTCAAATTCTAGAACTACGATCAACTATGTACGAAAAATAGTCAATAATGGTAGTTTTTAAGCGCAAGACTTTGAATTTGGTTATCAAAAAGTTTATTGGTAACGTTAGGCGTGAGCGTTAAGTGATTCGTGAGATATACACCTAAACTATTTGCATTGCTTACTTAAGCCGAAGCTGCTGAGCAGTATACTACAATCAGCTGTGTTCTGGACTCACATTTCCAGTTCTTTCCAATGACTAGTCATTATTTACATGTCTGTCTCCAATTCTTGGTGAAATGTGTTATTTAACCTTCCTCTCTGCCTTTGACTGTGAAGATTTTAAGTTATGTCTTTTCATGGGACACAGCCGAGTGATTTCTACAATGTATGTCCTGTCCGCATTTTCCGAATTTCTTCCTCAGATAGAATCTGGTTTATTCTCTGTCACAGTATGTTGCTGTTAATGCATGCTGGTCAGAGGGTTCGGAGTATCTTGTGAAGATAACTGTCTACAAATAGCAGTATATATCATGGCTTTTCAAATTCCCACTCCATAATAGAGAACTGTGACTTTTGTGATGGTCGACAGCTGTTTTTTAGTGCCAGAAGTTCTCCGATTGTAGAAATGTTGTCCTTGCTTCACTAATCCGTATCTTTACATTTGTAACTGATCCCTCATTGTTCATCCGGGATGCTGAACATTTATACGACAATTTCCACATTTTCCTTCGCTTCTCCAACCATGTACCATCTGGTTGGTGCATAAAGTGATGTATCGGTGGATTTTACCTTTCTCTTGGGTATGTTGATGCCAACAGCTGTAGAAGCTGCTGTTACTCTGGTCGTCTTCTCTTGCATTTGTTGCTGTGTGTAGTATGGAAGAGTTGGGTAATCAGCAAAGTTGAGCCAAAAATGGCCACTCTGTTTCTCACTTCCTCTACAACGTTGATGGCTCCATAATCCAGTCAACCACTAGGAGAAACAGATTGTGTGAAAGTAAGCTGCCTTTTTTGACACCAGTCTCCACTTAGAATGAGTCCATGAGCTTCCAAAAATGCACAATTTTGCAGCGTAGACAGTTGTAGTAATCCCGTATGTTGTTAACAATCTTCTCATGTACACCATAGTGTCAGAGAAGCCTCCAAAAGGACACTGCTATGTCCTCTTTGAATGCTTTCGTTGGTATGTTTTATGCTTCTGCTGGTTTGCCATTCTTGATTCGTCTGATATCGATGCTGATTTTTTCGACTATTGGTGCGTTAACATCTATTGGGACATTGATAGGTTCTTTTTCGATGTGTAGATCATAGTTACTTATTTTTCTATGAATGAATTTACCATTTCGGATACTCCATCCATCCAGTAAGTCAATAAAGTCCAACGACAGATAAATTGTTCTGAATAGGGGAAGGTATTTGATAACAGCTTAACTAATCATAAGTACTCCCTCCATTGACTAGACCCAATTATTTCAATTAGAACTATGGAGATTGGTGTTTGTTGCACAGTGGTCCAGAGGATAGGTATTCGCGTGCAAGACCGAAGGTTCAGGCTTCGAATCCTTGGAGGTGCAGGAGTCGTGGATGTGCACTGCCACTGATGAGTCCCATACCAGGACGAAACGGCCGTCCAGTGCTTCCAATGTTTCTAATGGTAATCAAACCATGATTGATTCATGATTTCAACGTCCAATTATTTCATCCATAATTTCACAGTTTCTTATAAGCTTGAAACAACATGGACCCGATAATCTTACTAAACAGATTATGTTACTGAAATTCTAAATCGATGACATTGTATACATTGAACGAACTTTTTAAATATATTTTGGAGTTTTGGCGCTAAATTCAATCCTCCATCCATATACTGCTAAACTGTATGTTTAACATCATTAGCTCATATCAGTTAAAATAATGTATTTTCAGGCAGAGCTTTGGAGGTTTGTGGTTTTACACATTTGAAATCATCAATCAATCATTGTTAGACCACCACCATTAGAAAACTTGCAAGCACTGGACAGCCGTTTCGTCCTAGTATGGGACTGATCAGTGGCAGTGCGCATCGACCACTCCTGCACCTCGCGAGATTCGGACCCAGGACCTTCGGTATTGTGCGCGAACGCCTAACCTCTGGACCACTGAGCCGGCACCCAACGGCGCTAATGGTTAAGCGTTCGAGTACAATGCCGAAGGTCCCGGGTCCGAATACTGCGAGATGCAGGAGTCGTGTATGCGCACTGATGATGAGTTCCATACCAGGATGAAACAGCCAGCCAAAGCTTGCAGGTTTCAGATGGTGGTATGACGATGGTTGATTGATGATTTCAAATGTGTAGAAAAATAATGTATACCCCAACTTTAACGTTTTATTTTAAATCATGATTTCTCACACATATGTATATCGCTCAAAAATTTCCCATAAAATCTCATTTCACTGTATATGTTTAATAGGTAAGAAAATTATTCTATGACATTCTAGAAAAAAAAATGTATTAAACATACTTTTCTTTTTTCTAAACATATTACTTTGAGGCAATTTTGGACACAAACTCATCTAATGTATCTGATGTTTTTTTAACATAGATTTTGGCATACATAGTTCTTGATTTATAGTAAAAACTTCGTTTGTTTATCTTACAGTAAAACTAATCTAACTCAGTCAGTAATTGGTTACGTAAATTTATGCAAAATTAGAAAACTTGAAAAGATAAAATGCATCAATTTGGCAAAGATTACTACAGAATAATTCTATAATTTATATTGTCTGTCTACAAACAATTTTTTACGTCAGATAGTGTCGTTTTTTTTTGGTGATCATGACTGACGATTTACGATTATTGTGAAGTGACATTCAATTACTTTGTATATATATATATATATATATATATATATATATATATATATATATATATATATATATGTGGTGCGAGCTACTTATAAGTAGTATATGACGTGAGTGTCAACGTAATGTCTGGCAGCAGAAGATGTTGGAAGATCAAGAAAGGAAGAGTGGGAACACAATGGAATTTGTATGAAACACATGAATAGTGACAATGGATTGATGTTGTTTGCAACAGGAACAGTCCAGTTCGATATGATGAACTGATATTTTGCAAATGAACGATTTACGATATGGTTTTCCTATTTTACTGAGTAACTCTGTAATTTTCGTTTAATACAATTCGGTTGCCCTCACATGTGTTCGCCTTCACTACATAGATTGTTCGCAATAGATAATAACTGTGAAGAAATAATCTTTGAGTATTTAATCTATAAAAGAATGAATGAGCTGTCTAACCGGGTAGCATAGTTTGTTCCTTTGATTATTGATTGATTTTCATTGGAAAGCATTTCAAAATTATCAGCATCGATAACGAATTAACTTATTTTATTTTGTCTGTTTATTTGACAGGCTTATTATATATCTCCTCAACATTAGATAAATTTTATTCAATGTGTCATCTGATCTACTACTGCAGACGAAAATATTCCATTCAAACTGTCAGTGAGAAAATCATTATGATAGTGTGATTATTCTAAAAGATAAAACGTGTAGTGTGTCGATTTATTGCGTGTTCTTAAGCTCGGTAATTAACTCGTTCAGACAATCGTTGCCAAATAGCGTCTGACGGTTTATAAATCAGAAGATGAATTCGTAGTGATGAATATGGTTATTTGGGACACACAACACAAAGCGAAGCGGAGAAGCAGTGAATAAAACGAATGAGGCGACGTGAACTGGAGAAAGCTGTTGAGTTAACTCCATGAGATAGAACATGACTAGGAATATATAGTCAGACAATAATAAGACAGACATGTGATCAACGTGATAGGCATGCACACACATGAATAAAGCGACGAATGATTGACAAGGTTAAATGACAAGTGGGACACGTCATGTGAGCTCATACAAACCAGACAATAATAAGAACGATTGGTACATAGAAGTTGTGGCTACGCAAATGGCTTGGTTAAATAAATTAATCGAAAGGGCTTAACCAAGTTAGATGTAAGCGAACTGGAATATATGTGGAGGCACTACAAATGGGTTTTCAAATTACTATTCATTATATATACGTAAATTCTACTTACTGTAGGCTTTTTAGAAAAACGTCTTGGTTGACCAACAAGCCCGCTGTGCATGCATGCCAATGCATTTTAGGCAACACAATAATCACCCTCGCTCCATACAGGAACGCATATGTTGTCCAGATTGTCCTGCGAGAAAGTTGGACAGTCGATCAGTGTACGCACGAACAGTCACCCCCATGTTGTGGGTGCTTATTAATCAACTAGATCTCTTCAACCAGTCCACTACTCACTGTCCCTAATCAGCGTGGGCAGCAAGGCGGATTCGCCCAGCTGAACCTCGAACCCTGCACAGGTTACCGAGTCACTCAGCAGCCGTTACAACCGTTCGGCCTCTAAATGCCTATGAACTACATTTCAGTGATTTGTTGTTCTTTATATATTGTCTGTC